TTCCTGTTCTTAATGGAAATGTTTTTAGTTTCTGTCCATTGAGTATGATGTTGGCTGTAGGTCTTTCATATATGGCCTTTATTATGTCGAGATATGATCCCTCTATTCCTACATTGCTGAGCGTTTTTATCAGAAATGGATGCTGGATTTTGTCGAATGCTTTTTCAGCATCTATTGATATGATCATGTGGTTTTTATTCTTCATTTTGTTTATGTGGTGTATCACGTTTATTGATTTGCGAATATTGTACCAGCCTTGCATCCCTGGAATGAATCCCACTTGGTCATGGTGAATAATTTTTTTGATGTATTTCTGGATCCGATTTGCTAGTATTTTGTTCAGGATTTTGGCATCTATGTTCATCAGGGATATTGGCCTGTAGTTTTCTTTCTTCGTAGTGTCTTTTTCTGGTTTTGGAATTAGAATTATGCTGGCCTCATAGAACGTGTTTGGAAGTCTTCCTTCTTCTTGAATTTTTTGAAATAGTTTGAGGAGAATGGGTGTTAGTTCTTTTTTGAATGTTCGGTAAAACTCCCCCGTGAAACCATCTGGGCCTGGGCTTTTGTTTGCTGGGAGAGTCTTGATTACTTCTTCAATTTCCTTAGTTGTTATTGGTCTGTTCAAGTTTTCTATCTCTTCCGGGAATAGTTTTGGGAGACTGTGTGTTTCTAGAAATTTGTCCATTTCGCTGAGATTGTCGAATTTGTTGCCATATAGTTGTTCATAGTAGTTGTTAACGATCTTTTGTATTTCCGTGGTGTTGGTTGTTACTTCTCCTCTTTCATTTCTGATTTTGTGTATTTGGGTTCTCTCTCTTTGTTTCTTGGTGAGTCTAGCTAAGGGTCCATCAATCTTGTTTATCTTTTCGAAAAACCAGCTCTTTGTTTCATTGATCCTTTGAATTGTTTTTTTGGTCTCTATGTCATTTATTTCTGCTCTGATCTTTACTATTTCCTTCCTTCTACTTGCTCTGGGGTTTTCTTTTTGTTTGCTTTCTAATTCTTTAAGTTGTGAGGTTAGACAGTCAATTAGAAATTTTTCTTGTTTTTTGAGGTAGGCCTGTAGTGCTATGAACTTCCCTCTCAGAACTGCTTTCGCTGCATCCCATAGATTTTGTGTTGTTGTGTGTTCATTTTCATTGGTTTCCAGGAAGTTTTTGATTTCTTCCTTGATCTCCTCGGTGACCCATTCATTGTTTAATAACATGCTATTTAGCCTCCATGTGTTGAAATGTCTTTGCATGTTCTTGTTGCAGTTGATTTCTAGTTTCATGCCATTGTGATCTGAGAAGATGCTTGATATGATTTCAATCTTCTTGAACTTGTAGAGATTTAGTTTGTGTCCTATCATGTGGTCTATCTTTGAGAATGTCCCATGTGCACTTGAGAAGAATGTGTATTCTGTAGTTTTGGGGTGTAATTCTCTGTAGATATCTATTAAATCCATTTGGTCTAGTGCTTCATTTAGAGTCTCTGTTTCCTTGCTAATTTTTTGCCTAGAGGATCTATCCAGTGCTGTCAACGGGGTGTTGAAGTCCCCAGCTATGATTGTATTGTTGTCGATTTCTCCTTGGAAGTCCTCCAGAAGATTTTTAATATATTTTGGTGCTCCTATATTGGGTGCATATATGTTTATCAAGGTTATATCTTCCTGTTGGATAGATCCTTTCAATATTATGTAGTGGCCGTCTTTGTCTCTAGTTATGGTCTTCATTTTGAAATCTATTTTATCAGATATGAGAATTGCTACCCCAGCTTTTTTTTGCTTTCCATTTGCTTGGAAAATTTTTTTCCATCCCTTCACTTTCAACCTATGTGAGTCTTTTGTTGAGAGATGGGTCTCTTGTAAACAACATATAGATGAGTCATGCTTTCTTATCCAATCAGCTACTCTGTGTCTCTTTATGGGAGCATTCAGTCCATTTACGTTTAAGGTGATTATTGATATGTACTTATTTATTGCCATTTTTGTTTAGTGTGGTTCTATTTTTGTTCCCATTTCTACTGCTAATTACAGCAGTCCTTTTAACATTTCTTGCAGTGCTGGTTTGGTGCTAATGTATTCCCTTAGCTTTTTTTTGTCTGGGAAGCTTTTTATTTGATCTTCTATTTTGAATGATAGCCTTGCTGGGTAGAGTAGTCTTGGATTCAGATTCTTGTTTTTCATGACTTTGATTACTTCATGCCATTCCCTTCTGGCCTGTAGTGTTTCTTGTGAGAAGTCAGCTGAGAGCCTTATGGGGTTCCCTTTGTAGGTAACCTGTTGCTTATCTCTTGCTGCTTTTAGGATTCTCTCTTTGTCTTTAATTTGTGGCATTTTAATTACTATGTGTCTTGGTGTGGGCCTGTTTGGGTTCTTCTTACTTGGGACTCTCTGTGCTTCTTGAACTTGAATGCCTTCTTCCTTCACCAAATTAGGGAAGTTTTCTCTCACTATTTTTTTGAATATATTCTCTATCCCTTGCTCCTTTTCTTCTTCTTCGGGGACTCCTATGATGCGAATATTATTACGTTTCCAGTTGTCCCATAGTTCTCTTAAGCTGTCTTCCTGTTTTTTAATAGTTTTTTCCTTTTGTTTTTCTGATTGGTTGATTTTTTCTACCCTGTCTTCTAATTCGCTGATTCGGTCCTCAGCTTCCCCTACTCTGCTTTTTAAACCTTCCAATGTGTTTTTCATTTCGGATATGTCATTTTTTATCTCTTCTTGTTGGTTTTTAATTTCCATTTGGCTTATTTTCAGTGTCTCTATGTCCTTACTCATGCTGTTCAGCTTCCTCAAGATCATGGCTCTGAATTCTAGCTCTGTTAACATGCCTAATTGCTCCACATTGATCTCATCTTCGGTGGAGGTGGTTTGCTCTTTCATTTGGCTTCTGTTTCTGTGTTTCACCATTTTAGCTATCACTCTGGGCTTTGGAGCCTGTCAAGTTCTCCCTGTGGGTGTTGGTGTTCTGCTGTTTGTGGCTCCCTCTCCTGTGTTTAGATGAGCGAGGGAGGACCCGCGTTGAACACCACTGTCAAGTCTTACTTTCCTGGTTAAAGTTGCCAGCCCAGGAAACGTACTGTTATCCTCTAGCTTTTTGCCTGGAAGCTAGCAGTCTAGGTTAATTGATGAGTTTTGGGTTGTCAGTTGATTGAAAAACTCCCTCTGGTGCTCAGCCAAGGGGCTTTCACGAGGGTGGGGCAGATGCTGGTCCTTAGTGAGCCTCAATTAACACTTCAATGGCCCACAGGGTGGGGTTGGATCTCCGAGGGAGGGGCTGCTGCCTCTCTCAGAGCCCTGGGAAGAAGCAATGTGGCCACCGTCCTGAGTGGCTGCACTCAGCCAAAGCTCCGAGAGCCCTCCAAACCCCGAGTGTCCCGACACAGTTCCAGTCCAGTCTGCCCTCCCTCTGCCGGAGCCCAAGGTGAGTGGCTGTGGCTGTTTTAGCCTCAGTCCCGGCTGCGCTGTGGGGCCGCCTGGGAGTGTAACCCGCGGGCGCCGCTTGTAGCTAAGGCCGCTGCCGAGCTGCCGACCGTGCGCTCCCAGCCCCGTCTCGCGCCTTCGCAAGCCTACCGGGATGGAGTCAGTGTCTCTCGTTGTATGGTCCTCGCAAGCTGCTTTTCTGTTGGTTTTTCCCGTCGATTTGTCTGTGTTATAGTTGTAATTCCAGTTTGGTTCTGGGAGACGGTCTGTGTAGCTCCGTTCACTCCGCCGCCATTTTTCGGTCTAAAAGAGAACTTTTCATTAGGCAAGAGTACCTAAGTGGAGACATTTCCCTAGTAGAATCTGTTAAACAAAGATCTACCACAACTGATTGCACCGTCTGGCAGGAGTAGGCACTAGATAATTAGGTGAAAGTTCCTTAAGAAACCCAGCCAGGGTTAGGTATAACTGGGATTGGGAGATGGTTCAGGTGAGGTGTACATTCTGCTTGTTTGGCTGATGTACTATCTTATATGCCAAGATATAGCTCAAGAGCTAATAATCTTTTTGAATTATAAATAATTCCAGAAAATGAAGTAATAGTGAAAACACTGGATATATCTGGAACTTTTAGCAAATAAAAGGTCAATTGGATGCTAAACTGGGTAGATTCTAATCATTTTCTTTTGTTTCTAGATACTTTTTCCCCTTGTTACATATGAGGAAATTAAGATCCTGATTGTGTATAATTTGCTTAAGGCAAGCAGTGAAATAAGAAAGATTTAGATGGATGAATTTTTGGTTTGTCTAGTTACCTCATTTTAAATAATTAATGGAGCCACCAGTCCACTTTATTATGTTACAGAGTTTTATTATATGTTAGTAATACTATAAAATGTTCATTTGATAAATGTTAACGTTTAACATTTATAAGTATTTGATGTATTTCACTGTAGAGAGACTGCTATTTTCTTTGGGTTCCTTAAATTATTCATCCAATACTGGGATTCTGTTTATAAATAAGAACATAAAACATAGGATATTGAAAATATTATATTCTCAGGAACATTATTTTATTGTTCTATAGGTTTATTGTTAAATTATTTAAGTATAACTATTTATAAAGACAAATTATTTTATTTGTGAATTAATAAGAGGATGAATGACTTTATTAGCACAAATTGGTGAAATTGTGCCATCTAGTGCCCTTTAATGAAAATAATTGTATTTTTAAAACAGACTTCAGTTTCCAGAATCTTAAATATTATAGATTATAAATGAGTCTAGGAAATGATTTTCCAACTCCTAAATATTAAAGATAGGCAATATAAGTACATAAAAAAATAAATTTAGGATACATGTTACTGGAAGAGTGTATTCCAGGCACAGAAGAAAATTCTAGCCAATCCCTAGGAATTAGTGTGGTCATTCCAAGGATTTCCTAAGATTTGTTTACTACATCTAGTGTAATGTTCTCTGTGGTGTGTGTGTTGGTGGGGAGAAGACAAGAAGAGTGTGAGACCCAAAACCACTAAACAATGAGATTCTTGGTGGTTGCTGATGAAGGACAGGAAGATTTTCTTTTCCCTTTTGGAACTGTCTGTTCCCAAAATGCTGCATATCAGTTACAGCAAACAGAACAGTGACCATCAGGAAAACTGTCCCTCTGGACTCCTCTTTGACCGCAGCAGCTGTGATGCGAGCAGCTGCAGCTTCCATTAGGGCCATGGAAAGGAGGGTCCTGAAGCCTGGGGCTTCAAGACTGTTGTCCGCTGGCTTGCCTTTCCCTGTCTACTGTATTGTCACCATGGGCCCTATCCTGGGAAGCAGAGAGTGTGTGTGTGTGTGTGTGTGTGTGTGTGTGTGTGTGTGTTTTCATAAGAGGAGGAAAAGAGGAGTTGTGAGTTGCATTCGAATAAACGGGAAATGTGAGGGAGAAGGTGGAGAAAGTGAAAAATTGTATTTTACTGTGCCGGCAGTTGAAATTAATTGACAGAAAGCTTTGGAGTCACATTTATCCAGGTTTGGGTTTGTGTGACTTTGGAATTACCTGATTATTTCTATAGACTTAATTTTCATATGTTTTTTTTTTTTTTTAAAAAAGGTGGAGATGCAGCAAAGTAAGGTAAATTCAGGTACTTTTAAAAATAGTTGTGCAGACACACAATGATGTAATGAATATCAATTCCTTTCACCACAAAACTTTGGGAAAAATTTCTGTAACTACCTACCTGTATACATGGGAAATGTGCAGATCAGTTGTGTTATTTATTATGCCTGTTCAATTAGGCTAAAGATTTCTTTTATCTAGTAAACTTCAAATAACTATTTATGATGTATCATCTTACACATACTTTACATTTTAACATACTGCACTAAATAGTGGCAGGTGTCAAATTCACTGATTTTCAATCTTTCACATGCACATACCAGGTTTTAAAAAGACTTTCATTTAGTCTTCATTTTCCTTTCTTGAAAAAGTAAAATCCTTACCATTTTATTCACACTTTTAAAAAAAATGAAAGTACTACATTTGCTATTGTTTTCCTTATTTTCACACCATCAAAAAAAAATATTATCAGTATACTGTTAACTAGAACTATCAACTCTAGGACGATCAAACCCAGAGTAACCCATGATAAGAACAGGGAGAGCAATCTAAATATCAGGCTGCCGCCCTGGCCGGTTTTGCTCAGCGGTTAGAGTGTCGGCCTGCGGTCCAGAGAGACCCGGGTTCGGTTCCCGCTAAGGGCATGTACCTCGGTTGCAGTTTGTCCCCAGCCCTGGTTGGTCGTGCGGGTGGCAGCCACTCGATGTGTCCCTTTCATGTTGATGTTTCTCTCTCTCTCTCTCTTCCTCTCCCTCCCTCCCACTCTATCTGTACAAAAAATGGAAAAATGTCCTCGGGTGAGGATAAAAAAAATAAAATAAAAAAAATATATAAATATCAGGCTGCCTCCTTTGCGTTGATCTCAAACCCAATTTCCACAGGCCATCAGAAGAGCGAGCAGTTGCCAACGCTTTCAGATAGGTGACTTATTATGGACGCTAATTTTGGTCAAAGTTAGTAAGAGACACATTATATCTGCCCCTTTCTGAGACAGTCCTAAGTGTGTAAACTTCATTTAAGCCATTTTGACACATAACTTACATATTCCTGTCATGACCCTACATTTTATGATAAAAGCTCTCCCAAGTGCCTCTCCACATTGTCTCCCATGACGAACCTCACTAGACCTCCTGTGGCCCTGCCTCCACTATCTGTTTACCTCATTTGGCAATGGCTTTTTCTCATCAGTGTCATTTGAATCAGGTGGGGTGAGTCATCTCTCAAAGGGGCCCAAATGGTGTACACATGGCTGTTGCAACCTGGACTGCAAACTCTGCCTCACCTACCTCTCCCTGTGTTCTCACTTTACTTCATTTGTGGCACTGAAACAGTAGAAATATTTCACAGCTAAGCCTGCTTTCTTTCCCTGTTTTGTCTTTTTCAATCAAGGTTTCACACATTACATTTTGTTAAATAACCCTGAAGGATTTTACCTACTTAATAAACAACAAATACGTGTGATCATTATTTATTCCTTCCTCACTCTTCCCCTCTTCTACCCACATTTTCTCCCCATTTTAGGAAATCTATATTAATGACCTGGCATTCATCATTCCATACTTTCTTCATGCTTATGTAATCACATAAGTCTATATGCACATGTACATTTAATATTAATAGTCTATTTTTTTTTTTTTTTTGGTAATTTCTTGGTTTTAGAAAAATGGTGTCATGTATTTTTCTGACTCTGACTCTTCTCAAAATGCTCATGGAAATCATGCCTGGTAACTGGAATGACTAATCCAGTCTCCAGGCCTTAAAAGGTCTTCATAGTATTCGTAGTGACATAATCTACTCAGTCATCTCATTATTTTTTATTTTATTTTTTAAATTCTTGCCTGAGGATATTTTTCCATTTATTTTCAGACAGAGTGGGCGGGGGAGAGCGAGAGCGAGCGAGCGAGCGAGAGAGAGAGAGAGAGAGAGAGATCAATGTGAGAGAGACACATCGATTGGTCGCCTCCTACATGATCCAGACCAGGACCCAGGACCAAACCACAACTGAGGTAAGTGCCCTTGACCAGAATCAAAACCACAACTCTTTGGTCCTCAGGCCAATGCGCTAACTGCTAAGCCAAACTGGCCAGGGCAGTCATCTCATTATTAATAGGTTCTTTCTTTCTCTCTCTTTCTTTCTTTCTTTCTCTCTTTCTCTCTTTCTTTCTTTCTTTCTTTCTTTCTTTCTTTCTTTCTTTCTTTCTTTCTTTCTTTCTTTCTTTCTTTCTTTCTGTTTTGCCCAATGCAGAAATAAATTTGTGTTTAAATATGTAAATATAAGTATGTATGCATATATCTCATATAAAATATCATAAAGATAATTATTTTTATGAGATATTTATGCGATAGTCACAGTTTTCCAAAAAAAAGCAATAACTCACATTTACACCATCTATTATAAAATTAAATTTTCTTGTATGCTCCCAGAAATTAGATTTCATTGGTCTTTTAAATCTTTGCCATTCTAGTGGGTAAAAAAAGTGATATTTTACTGTAATCCTGATATGCATTTCTTTACTACTAGTGGGCTTGAAATGTACTTTGGCTATCTGAATTGGTTCCTCTGTGATTTTCCTCTTTATATCCTTTGCAGTTTTTCTACTGGGTTTTCTTTTTCTTCCTAATAATTTTTAATACTTTACAATATGATATAGATGTTAGGCCGCATTCTGTGTTCTTCATTGTAAACAATTTCCCCAAAGTTGTTGCTTGTCTTGATTTTTATTTATGACATCTTATGTTACACAAAGGTTTTACATTTGATATTATCATGCAATGACTATCCTTGTTGTTAAAGTTTCGGTCTCTAGAGTTAAAAAGCTCTCCCTTATGCATGTAATTTTCTAGATTTTTACACAAGGATTTTCTTGTTTCTTATTCTTCTTTTAATCCTCACCCGAGGATATTTTGATTCTTTCTGTAGTTCTCATTTATTTGTCTTTTTCTAGGCTAATACCACCACATTGATTTGATTACATAGTTGCTAATAGCCACTAGATCTTCTGATATTTGATAACAAAAGTTATTCCTCATCATTATTTTTTTTCATATTTCTCTATTCACCTACATTTATTATATCAAAAGTCAACTGGAATTCTATAAGATTATATATTAATTTTGAGAGAACTAAAATTTTTATGATATTGTCTTATTTAACATTGGTGTCTTTCCATTTGTCATAGCTTCTTTATTTAGGCTCTATGCCTACATGTTCCATAATTTTTGTCATTATAGTAAATGACTTTTTTCCAACTTCCTTTTTAGGTACTTTTGGGGATAAATTAAAACATGAGTTTTTATATACTTGACTTGAACCTTGTCACTTCATTTATTTCTCTTATTAACTTTTGGGTGATTTTAATACATTTTCCTGTGCTATTTTGGTGTCCAATCACATCATAGGTTAAAAGATATTTTTATGTCTTGTTTTCCAATACCAGTTAACTTTATTATATTAGACACACCATTATTAAATAATAATTTTGATACAGGCATCCGTTCTATATTTTAATTGAAATAGCTCTAGTGTTTTGCTGTTTAGGATAGTATTTTCTGTTACTAATCCTTTGATTTCCATTAAGTGTTGAAGTATTGCCAGGAATTCCTTTTAAATTTTATCTAATGCTTTTTATGCATCTATTGGTATGAACATATGTTACTTTCTCTGATAATTTGTTAATGCAGAGGATTATGTTTCTGAAACAAAAATCATCCTTGAAATTATGGAATTTACTTATTTGGTCTTACTATATTATCCTTTAAAAGCATTGCTAAATTCTGATTGCTATTATTTCATAAAAATTTTTGCCTATATATTCATTATAGAGGTTAATTGTACTATTTTTTTTTTGTGGGATCTTGATAATCTTTTGGCATTAAAGTTATACTGGTTTCATGAAATAAAATGAGATATGGAAAAATTTAAATAATATTGGAATTACCTTTTATTGATAAGTTATCTAAGACTTAGCTGTGACTTTTCTTTTTATCCTCACCCGAGGACACTTTTGCATTTATCTTCAGATAGAGTGGGAGGGAGAGGCGGGGAAGAGAGAGAGACAAACATCAATGTGAGAGAGACACATCAACTGGTGGCCACCCACACGACCCCATCTGGGGCTGGGGACAAACTGCAACCGAGGTACATGCCCTTAGCGGGAACTGAACCCAGACTCTCTAGTCTGCCGGCCAATGCTCCAACCGCTGTGCCAAACTGGTCAGGGCTTAGCTGTGACTTTTATCTGGCATTCATGTCTGTTTTTAAAATAAACTTTTCATTTTAGAGTAGTTTTAGAGTTCCAGGAAAATTATAAAGTACAGAGATATCGCATCTATACCCCTCACCCAGTTTCCTTTAACATCTTACATTTATCATGATATATTTGCTATAATAATGGGTCAATATTGTACATGATGTATTAATCCAAAATTTATTTGGATTTCTTTAGTTTTTACTTAGTATCCTTTTGGTATTCTAGGATCCAATCTGGTTAAATATCCTTTAACTCCTTTTGGCTGTGACAGTTTCTCAGACTTTCCTTATTTTTTATGACAATGACACTTTTGAGGACAACTAGTCAGGTAGTCTGTGGACCTCTCCTCAGTTAGCATTTGTTTTCCTA